TTACAATTTTAATTTTATTTACTTAAAATAATTTTAAGTAAAATCTCAATTTGATAACTTTGATATCTACCCTTCCCAATATGTATAAAATACAAAATACCATGCATTAAGTTATCCAGTACATACGCCTTTACAGTACTCGTTCTCAAGGTTTGGCTTTTGCAAAAGACACGTTACCCTGCATCAGACACGTTACCTTGCATCAAAATTAAAGATAACCTTGGATTTGAAATTCATTCATGGGAAAGTATAAAAAATTATAGAGTGAAATTTTAATTAAAAGTAAGGTCACGTCTTATTATGATTGGTTGGATAAAAGATAATTAAAAATAAAATTATTTTAATTTGTCATATTATCTTTTTTTTACACCATGAATAATTATTTTTTGACCATATAAGTTGATTACATGATGTCATTTTCATTTCATAAAAAAAAATGTCATTTTTAGATTGAGTTAACGTACATTTGTGATTTAATTGATGCAAGGGAAAAAAACTTAAAATTTTTTTTATAAAAATAAAAAGTCCAAATTAAAGTTTAACCATTACATTTTTATTTAATGTGATGCGATTACATTTTTATTTAATGTGATGCGCTCTATACCTCGCATAAGCATAAGAACAAGTCAGTTAACATTATCAAACGCCTTAAAATTAACGAAAACGCCTTAATATTTTGTATCAGTCACTCTTCCTTTGCCAACTTCCTTATCCCATGTCGCAAATGCACGTGCCTTCCACTCCTTGCGCCTCTACCAAACCCTCTTTCCTCAGCGTGCTACCCCGGCCTGAACTGGTGGTATTCCCGTACGAGACCAAGCTTCCTCCCCCACATAGCCGCTCCCTTGCAACCTCCCTACCTGGCTCAGCCCGTCAAGAAGCAGCCTTTAGCCTTTTCACCTGCCCCCCACACCCTCCCTTTTCCACACGGCAGCCGCAGCACTCATAGCCTCTTCCCAAATAAATTAGAAATCAAAAAAATATAATCAATTAGCAATTTTTTTTTTTTGAACATGAATTAGCAATTATTATTAAGAATATTAAAAGTCAAATAATCAATAATTAAAAGTCTAAGGTCAAAAACAATTAACAATTACAATAATTGATAATTACAAAAGAAAAAATCATGAAGAAATGACTTAATGGTTAAAATTTTGAAATTTTAAATTAAAAATTTTAAATTTAAATTTTAAGTTTAATAGGAAGAAATTTAAAAACAATTATTTTTTTCATATAAACCATTGTCATCATATGTTATATATATAAAAAAAAGTAATTGCAAAAGAACATCCTGAGTAAAAGAAAAGGTATTAGAACAATAAAGTTATATTTTGAATTGGGAGAAAAAATTATGGGTTTAGGTAATCAATTATGTTATAAGTGATAAATAAGTTTAGGTTTGTCCTTTTTACCTAATAATTAACATATATATACTGTAATTTGTTATTTTATAGTTAAGGAGTTAGTGTTTGTCCGTTTTACCTTAAACAATTAAGAGGAAAAAAAATAAAAATCACCTTAATGCATGTTTTAAAAATAAGGTAGTTTAGTCTTTTTCAATAAAAATTTATTGAAACGACGTAGTTTTAGGATGATTTTTCTCTTAATATTTAGGAAATAAAGTTGATAGGCACTATTTTTTATAGTTAAACCTAAAGAAAAATTTTAATATTTTAGCCACACCCTTGGCCTAAGGGTTTTATTTTTTATGGTACTGTTTTCAAATATTGTAGTTTTCAGTTTTTATACTCTTAATTGTTGTAAAATGTATGACTAATATATATATATATATATTGAGACATGTTAAAAATTAAAAATTTTATATTAAAACTCTCTAATTTAAAAACTATTTTTTTTTGGGATGTATAATTCATTATATTATAATATCATCAATTATTATTAT